AACAGTAACAATAGCTGCTGAGCTAAAAAAAAAAAAAAAGGCCCATGGATAAATTTCATTATTATTTTTATTATTGTTTTTTTGAAATGGAGTTTCACTCTTGTTGCCCAGGCTGGGGTGCAATGGCGTGATCTCGGCTCACTCCAACCTCTGCCTCCCGGGTTCAAAGAATTCTCCTGCCTCAGCCTCTCAAGTAGCTAGGATTATAGGCATGTGCCACCACACCCAGCTAATTTTGTATTTTTAGTAGAGATGGGGTTTCTCCATGTTCATCAGGCTGGTCTTGAACTCCCGACCTCAGGTGATCCACCCACCTTGGCCTCCCAAAGTGCAGGGATTACAGGCATGAGCCACAGCACCTGGCCGAATTTCATAATGTTTTAAGAAAGTTAGACATTGTTTTCCTTTTCTAGCTGCAGTCTTTAATTCCTGTGTTAAACACCTTATTTCTTAATACTTGTAGTAACTGTTTTCTGACCAATTCCAGACTGATAAATTCAGTTTGGATCTTTATGGGTCACTTCAAAAATTCTAGACACTTCTTAGGATTTAAAATGCAGTAGAGCCCCTGAATACCTTTATAAATTCCTCTTTTATATTGTTCCAAAAGAAATACTGAAATGAGTCAAGGACAAACATTAATTAAGTAAACCTGAAGGCTATATGACTCCTTTACCCCAGAAGATTTACTCATTTCTCCTGTCTCTAGCTCATTGGACAATCTGCCAGCAACACAAAATACCCAAAATTTGATGGTGAGCTTTCCCTCCCAGTCAAGTAAAACTCTCTATTTCTCAGAGAAGTTTAAGTTTTTCCTCTCATTAATACTATCCTTTTCCCCACAAAAATTAAAGCACACCTGGCTATCAAATCTTCCTTTTACTTTTTTTAACAGATAAAGTGCAAAAATTGGATTGACATCATCATAAAATTACAGTTACATAATCTATCTACTCCCATTTCATGTTATTTTGTTCAGTCACAGTCTGAGCATCTTCCTCATAGACCAGGAAGAGGGTTGGCTACTTCTTAGACATGATGGGGTGCTCAGTCTTACCCTAGATCTCTATTCAGAATTTTAAAAAGGTATCTCCATGTGTTACAGCTTCCTAAAGTCTCATAGTCATGCACACATAAGAACTTTGCTTCAGTTCCCATCCACAGAATGTAAAAAACACAAAGAAATCTGCAGACCAAACAAGGTCAAGTAGCAATTTTCAATGTGAATTCCTAATCTCTGGCTAGATTTTGAAATGATCTGAGAATCTAATTGTATTACATTTTAGACTCACATGAATCTTGTCAACCATACATAGGTCATGACAGAAACTTAGTATTTTTGGGGGAAGAAGGTAAATAGAGGAAATGGTGGAAAGAAGACAAGAAAGGGTTTTTGTGGCTACAGTGTGGCCATGGAGCCAATTGAATCATGGCAGTTGGCCAGTATACACAGCCTGTGAACTTGAAATTCAACAGAAACAGAGATCAACACAAGTGGTAGCATCCTACATGTGTTATTCTATACCTTTTTTTAAAAAAACTATAACAACTTGAAGATGATTCATATTGGTACATATAGAACTTCATCAGTCTTTTTGACAACTCTATAGTATTCTATTGCTTGTTTGTGCTATAATTTATTTAACCAGTTCCTTACTAAGTGACACATTGTTGTAAAATCATCTTTTTAAATTAAATACAATAGTGCAATGAATGACCGTTGTATCATTTGAGATTCATTCTGAAAAATTCCTCATATGGAATTGCCCTGACAGTGGATAGGCAGGCTTGAAATTTTGAAAGATATAACCCAAACTCCTCGCCCTAGACAAGTACTTGAGAGTGCCTACTTTTCCATGCCCTTACCAAATCAGCATCTTCATGCATTCTGTAGAACTAGCCTTTAAACCCTTATCAGTCAGGCTCCAAAGTCTCTGCTCTCAGGAAACACCATGTTTATCACTCCTGAAAAAAAACAAAAATCATTCTTAAAAATGTCAGAAATCCCTTAACTAGAGACTCATGGTTTGTGACATTAAAATAAAGACACACTTGAAACGTTAAGGCTCTCTTTTACTCATTCACACAGCCCCATGAGTTAGCTCAACAGCTGGCTCTTTTAAAGGGAGGAGGCGGCCAGGAGCGGTGGCTCATGCCTGTAATCCCAGCACTTTGGGAAGGTGAGGGGGTCAGATCATAAGGTCAAGAGATCGAGATCATCTTGGCCAACAAGTTGAGACCCAATCTCTACTGAAAATACAAAAATTAGTTGGGTGTAGTGGCACGTGCCTGTAGTTCCAGCTACTCTGGAGGCTGAGGTAGGAGAATGGTTTGAACCCAGGGGGCGGAGGTTGCAGTGAGCTGAGATCACACCACTGTACTCCTGCCTGGGCAACAGAGTGAGACTCCATCTAAAATAAAATTAAAAATAAAAATAAATAAAGGGAGGTGGAGGTGGCAGGATTTCAAAGGTTCAGTAAACACAGCCTAGAATTCATTCTGCAGTGACCAGAGCAGGGAGCAATTCTTCAGAACTGGGTGGAAGCCTGGATCCCACCTGATCAAAACCCTTCATTGTGTTGCTGGAGAAAGAAGCCTAAAGAGGCTAATGACTGACCCACAGCCCTGACCAGAAGAACAGGCAGGAGAGGACTGGATTTTCTGGAGTGCGGGGAAGCCCGTCTGATTCTCAGGCAACTAACAAATCAGGAGCACTAGAGTAACTCTGGGGGACAAAAATAAAATATTTAACAAAAATATTTATTGTTCATTATGGGAAAAATAAGGACTTCGTTGTGGAAGACAGTGTGGCGATTCCTCAAGGAACTAGAAATAGAAATTCCATTTGACCCAGCAATCCCATTACTGGGTATATATCCAAAGGAATATAAATCATTCTACTGTAAGGACACATGCACACGAATGTTCACTGCAGCACAGTTTACAATAGCAAAGACCTGGAACCAACCCGAATGCCCATCGATGATAGACTGGACAGGGAAAATGTGGCACATATACACCATGGAATATTATGCAGCCATCAAAAGCAATGAGTTCATGTCCTTTGTAGGGACATGGATGAACCTGGAAACCATCATTCTCAGCAAACTGACACAAGAGCAGAAAATCAAACACCGCATGTTCTCACTCATAGGCAGGTGTTGAACAATAAGAACACATGGACACAGGGAGGGGAGTGCTACACACTGGGGTCTGTTGTGGGGAAATAAGGGAGGGACAGCGGGGGGTGGGGAGTAGGGGAGAGATAGCCTGGGGAGAAATGCCAGATGTAGGTGATGGGGAGGAAGGCAGCATATCACACTGCCATGTGTGTACCTATGCAACAGTCTTGCATGTTCTTCACAAGTGCCCCAAAACCTAAAATGCAATAAAAAAAATAAGGACTCTGTTGGACTTAGTTTATGGTATAATGTTGCTTGTATTTTTAATTTCATACTGGGGAGGGAGCACCATTCACTGTTTACAGCCTCTGTAGGGCCAAGTTCAGCCTGAAATCTAGGTGTCTTGAGCCAGTGCTTTGTTCCTTCTTCCTCCACATGCTCTCTCTATTTGAGCACCACTAGACATTACAGTACAGCAGAAGAAAGTGGTATTTCTGGTTATCCACTGTTTATTCTGATTTTAAGTAAAATAAATGGTGAAATACACACATTATGTATTATTTATTTATTTATTTATTTTTGAGGTGGAGTCATGCTCCGTTGCCTAGGCTGGAGCGCAGTGGCACAGTCTCGGCTCATGGCAACTTCCACCTCCCAGGTTCAAGTGATTCTCCTGCCTCAGCCTCCCAAGTAGCTGGGATTACAGATGCTCACCACCACGCCTGGCTAATTTTTTTTTTTTTAATTTTAGTGGAGACAGGGTTTTGCCATGTTGGCCAGGCTGGGCTAGAACGCCTGACCTCAAGTGATCCACCTGCCTCAGCCTCTCAAAGTGCTGGGATTACAGGTTGTGAGTCATTGTGCTGGGCCTTAATTTATTTAAAACACATTTTCAGAATTCCTAAAAAATAATAGGTGGAACTCAGAATTGCATACATTTTACATATAAGAATTTATAAACCGCTAGTTTCTAAGGATCATGTCTGCAAGTCAGGATTCCTGATCCAGAGACAATGGCCTTCATGGGAGGGAGCCTGAAGGCATCATTGAGAGTAACTGGAATGAGATTGTTGACAGCTTTGATGACATGAACCTCTCAGAGTCCCTTCTCTGGTTTTGAGAAGACTTCTGCCATCCAGCAGCGAGCCATTCTACCTTGTATCAAGGGTTATGATGTGATCGCTCAAGCCCAGTCTGGGACTGGGAAAATGGCCACATTTGCCATATTGATTTTGCAGCAGATTGAATTAGATCTAAAGGCCACCCAGGCCTTGGTTCTGGCAACTACTTGAGAATTGGCTCAGCAGATACAGAAGGTGATCATGGCACTAGGAGACTACATGGGTGCCTCCTGTCACGTCTGTATTAGGGGCACCAATGTGCGTGCTGAGGTGCAGAAACTGCAGATGGAAGCTCCCCATATCATTGTGGGAACCCCTGGCCATGTGTTCGATATGCTTAACTGTAGATACCTGTCTCCCAAATACATCAAGATGTTTGTACTGGACGAAGCTGACGAAATGTTAAGCCACGGATTTAAGGACCAGATCTATGATGTATTCCAAAAGCTCAACAGCAACACCCAGGTAGTTTTGCTGTCAGCTACGATGCCTTCTCATGCGCTTGAGGTGACTAAGAAGTTCATGAGGGACCCCATTCGGATTCTTGTCAAGAAGGAAGAGTTGACCCTGGAGGGTATCCGCCAATTCAGCATCAACGTGGAATGAGAGGAGTGGAAGCTGGACACACTGTGTGACTTGTATGAAACCCTGACCATCCCCCAGGCAGTCATCTTCATTAACACCCGAAGGAAGGTTAACTGGCTCACTGAGAAGATGCATGCTCGAGATTTCACTGTCTCTGCCATGCATGGAGATATGGACCAAAAGGAACGAGATGTGATTATGAGGGAGTTTCGTTCTGACTCTAGCAGAGTTTTGATTACCACTGACCTGCTGGCCAGAGGCATTGATGTGCAGCAGGTTTCTGTAGTCATCAACTATGACTTTCCCACCAATAGGGAAAACTGTATCCACAGAATAGGTTGAGGTGGATGGTTTGGCCGTAAGGGTGTGGCTATTAACATGGTGACAGAAGAAGACACGTGGACTCTTTGTGACATAGAGACTTTCTACAACACCTCCATTGAGGAAATGCCTCTCCATGTTGCTGACCTCATCTGAGGAGCTGTCCTTTCACCTAGCCCTACCCCCAGCCAGAGTTCAGTCTTAGGGGGCTGAGGGAGCAGCAGGAGGGGGGAGGGAAGGGAGCCAAGGGATGGACGTCTTGTCATTTTTTTTCTTTGAATAAATGTCACTTTTTGAGGCAAAAGAAGGAACCGTGAACATTTTAGACACCCTTTTCTTTGGGGTAGGCTCTTGTCCCAGGCACTGACTCTTTTCCAAAAAACACTAATCCATTTACCTAACCTAGTAACCTCCAGATCCCAGAGGCTCTCCTCACCTCAGCTTAGCTCCTTTGAAAGTGATTCAAGGGACTATGTCACTCAGCCTCATTTGCTGGACCAAATCTAGAGGGAGAACCACTAAAATCCCTGAGTGAGGTTGCCCAGGGGATTGTCCCCAGGTGGGGGGAAGCAGGGGAGAGGAAATGGTAGCCATTTTTACATTGTTTTGTATAGTATTTATTGATTCAGGAAACAAACACAAAATTCTGAATGAAATGGCTTGGAAGCTGCCAAAAAAAAAAAAAAAAAAGAATTTATAAACCTAGAAAACCTCAAGTAATATAAAAATTTATGAAAATAAGTAAGCATACATTATAATAGTATAAGTTATTCATCAATAAAATCTATAAAATAATGTATTTTTAAATTTCTTTTTCTTAGATATCGGGTCTTGCTGTATTGCACACGATGGTCTATAGCTCCTAGACTCAAGCAATCCTCCTGCTTCAGCTTCCCAAGCAGCTGGGACTACAGGTACATGTCACCACTCCTCGCTCAGACATTTTTCTTTTGACTCCATCTTCAAGTAGCCCCATCTCTTTGAAAAGTGCTTTTTGAAAATTGTTGTACTCTTTTGTTTTTAGAGAGGCACTCTTTTTTTTTTTTTTATTATGGTAAGCTGTTCTATTTTGTTTTGAAGAGAGTATTTCTAGTTTGTCTTTGTTTTTCTTAGTTTCATCATGCACAGACTGAGAGTCTTATGCTTTCAGTGGAAGCTTTACAATTGCACATCTGGTTGCTCATTGCAACCTTTATGGGCGTAGTCCTGTCTAGATGTAAAAAGTTGAACACAGATTTGTTTTGTTGCATAAATTAAAAATTGAGTCATTGAGTTTGAATACATAAAGGATTTAGATTTCACTTTTTTTGAAATGTAAAAAACCAGCATCATTTAGAATGAAGTATGTATTTCAGTACTTAAGAATAACATAGTTTACCAGAATACTGAAAATGGTATCATAAACACTAAGTACCATACTATCAGTTTTTGATTCTCTTTCCTCTTCTTTTTTGTCTTTCTGCTTCCTGAGCTCTTAATTCAGATTTGTAAAATGACACGAGTGTGGCTGAATTGTGAATTATGTAGACCCTCATGACTGCACCTGTGAATTTGACCACTTTTTAGGAGCACCTTTTATTTCTTTAAGGAAGTGCTTGCTTACATTTAAGCAACTGACTTAAAAATTGGCTTTTTGCAATGCACCATGTCTACTAGTCAATGTTTGAAAATATTAATTTTATATATAGTTCTTACACTACAGTAAGAAAAGTTGGACGGGGACTTAACTGGTGAACAAGGATAAGAATCTAAGCCTTAACAACCAATCTGACAGCCCCTATTGAAAACTTATTTGAGCTAGTGAGTTCTGCCAAGTGATGGTGTTCTTTTATAAAACTCATGTCACAAACTAAAACATTTGCCCAAATTAACCTCTCATAAATCTAGCCTCAGGCGTGAAGAAACATCTATGTAAAGATTGCATTCACAAGGGATGTCATTCCCCATCATATCCATGTCAGTGTACCTATCCTTGAATTTTTTTAAGCATTAGGGTGAGCTATATGAAATTGCTTTGTTTTTGGCAAAAAAGTAGTCAAGCAGCAGCAGTTTCTTATGGCATAACCTATAATTTGTTTACTGAAGATGTTATTTCTAACATCTTTTTCTTTCCAAATATTTTTGGGAATATTATAATAAAAAATAAGCATAGTTTACCTGTTTCAGTCTGTCCTACTTGAATTTATTAATTGAAGCTGAATTAATAAATATTCACTGGAATCAGATATTGGGAGAAAGTGGCCAAAGGAAGCAGCCTCTGGGTATCACTGTCCAGGTCCCCATCAGAGTATGTTTCCAGAATCTTAGGAATGGCAGTACCATAGGTGAGGCGTCTGAGGTGTTTGTGGCTGTTCCTTGACATCCTGTTCACCATTTTTTGTCTGGTCATAACACACAAGCTCCAAACCATCTACATTACAAAGCCAATATCTAGTCCTAAACAGCACGTTTTCATTCATCATTGAAAGAATCTTGGTGGCCTGCTTTCGGCACTGAAAATAGACTGCATTAAAATAGAATTACATACCAAGTGCAATTAAGAACAAACCAGGCAACTTGGTGCAAAGTTTCAGCTTTTTTAGGAAAGCAAGACTTATTTTGAACTATTTTCTTTAAATTCTATTGTTACTGTAAAAATATTTACTTTAATAACTCAAAAGATGCTGTTTCTTTTATAACATAGTTGAATACATTTTTCTTCTGCAACAGTTCTTTTTATATTTGTATAACTATCCGTTTGTGTGTATGGCATTAATTTTATGATACTTAAAATGAATGTGAGGGAAAGCACTGTAATTGGGGTCAGATACTTTTATTATGAAATGCACGCTGTAGTTCTATAAAGTGCATACATTAAAACATTATAAACTAGGTTATACATTTCATTTTTGTCTGAAATCAGACAAATTTTATCCAGAATATCAGGCACAAAGAAAATAAAAATAAATGCAAAAACTTGCACTATAACAAATAAATCTCATCATGTATTCCTTTATACTGGAGAGAATTGCTTTTCAAAGGAGTCCAGGTCCCACTGGAAGGACCCTTCCATACACCATGCAATTTCTAGCAGCCTCGGCTCTCCCCTCGACGGACAGCAGATGGCGCTGCGCTTCCCTTTTTGCCGCCTCGGTGACGGGACAGGAACCCAACTTTGGCAGAGCTGAGTTGAAGATTGCAAGCTACCTATTTGGAGCTAGGTGAGCAATGGAAACTACGCATTTAGAATCACAATTTACCTCGCTTCATACTGATTTGCGCTCTGGAGGACGTGCAGTTTCTGTTATTCGTGATCCAGAGGGCTGCGTGTGTTGGATTAACCGGGCTCATACCGCTTCCACACTGCTTGTCAGGAGAAGGTTACTCAGGGCAGGTTGAAAGACTGTTCTTAGCAGCACTCAACCAACATCAGCAAACGGACATTCCCTTCTTCCTCACAACCAGTTTGTATTTATGAAAGATCCCTTGGTGCTCTTTAGTGGGCTGTGGTGACAAGATGTGATTTGTAACTTTGAGAAGTTTGTGGTCAAGAAGGTGACCTACAGATATTCAGTCAAAACTAAATAACCACAGCTATGCTTCTCTGTGTTTCTGCTTCATACACTAATTGTGTTCAGGGCTCCCCAGCAATCTGTCCTCTCTTTAGTCTTTTGGTCTGTACCTGCTTTCTTCTTCTAAGTCTGTTCCTTTGGGTAAATTTGCATGTGTTGACCTTGGCAAACGGATATATTTAGCTTTGTTTTCTTAAATAACTTTATAGAAATGTTTTTTAGTGGGAAAATAATGACATTGAGTATAATAATCATGTAGTTTTCATCTAGTTGGGATCTTAGGGATTATTTAATGCAACTGATTAAATAATACTGTGAGAAAGTGATGCCTACCCATGTGCAATGTCGTGCTCAGTTCACACACAGGCAGAGTGAGAACTCTGACCCAGGTTTCCTGAGCATCAGTCTAATAACCCATCTGACGTTATGCTCGACTGTATTTTTAAACAGGGTACAGATCATAAATGTCAAGGTTAATTTATCTCCCTGCCATGCAGCTCATGGATGGATTTTGGTCACACTCATTGCATAGCCATATGTGCAAATTCCTCCCCACCATTCCCCCCAGTCAGTGGCTCGGTTCTCTTTGCTGCTGTTCCCTTTTGTCACACCTATGCCAGGCACTAGCCCTGTTGTGCTGGAGCTTCCTCTCTAGACTATGAGGTTGTCGGGAACAGTCGTGGTGTCTCTCACTCATGTTTGTGTTCTCTGTGTCCTGCGTAGTGTCCAACATCTCATAAGCGCTCGGAAATGTTGACTGAAGGAGTGAACTTTTGATGGAGACTACCTTGAAAGTGGCAAACCAGGGTGCGGTGGGAAGCCCTCCTCAGGCTCTGAACATAGAGACACACTGGAAATATAAGAGAAAGCCTTAAATGTAGAGCTAAGCTTGAAAGTGAGAAAAGACACTCTTACATGCTAAAAACAAAACAAAACAAAACCAAGCAACAGCCAGAATTCAGAATGCTGCAGAGTAGAAGCAGAACAGGACTGGAATAGGCAGCAGGAAAGGAGACATTTTCAGCAGGATGAATTGCAAGTGAGTTTATATCCACAGACCCTTACATGACAGGGAACCATTCTATCTTTGTACCTGAGCTTTGTTTTATATCTAGATGCAAGGCCCCAGCACCAGGGCACAAAAAGTTGAATAATGACTGCATGCCCTGGAAATCCCTTCTTTTGTGGAGCTCAAAGGTACCACATAAGCTTCTTTGGGTTTATATATTTTGAAGGATAACTGATGCTAGAGACAATCTAATAAGTCAGTGAAGGACAGGGGTCCCTGAAGTCACTTTAAACAACTGTGGCCTCTACAGGAAACAAAGGGAAAACAAGGAAAAACCCTAAATTAGCCAACAGGCTGTTTAATAAACCAATTGTCTTATTCCAGACGATGCTGCCCATTTACCTCAAAGTGTAGTTTATGGATGTTTGTCATCCTGTTCTTTCCTTATTTGTGTAGTGGGAAAAATTTGCAATCACAAAATAAGTTCTGTAAAAGATTTCATATTTCATTGAAAAACTTCAACAGAAACATGATTGTGAGTGCCCTATATCCCAGGGTTTGTCAGAAATTTATTTAGAGCCATTATTGGGGCTCTTTCCACCTCCCTTGGGTTGTATAATATGGTTTGGATTTCTGTCCCCACCCAAATCTCATGTTGAATTTGAGGAAGCTCCTGGTAGGAGGTGATTGGATCATGAGGCCTGATTTCTCCCTTGCTGTTCTCATGGTAGTGAGTGAGTTCTCACAAGATCTGATGGGGTTTAAAAGTGTGTGGCATTTTTCCGCCTTTGCTCTCTCTCCTGCCACCATCTTTCACCTTCTGCTATGATTGTAAGTTTCCTGAGGTCTCCCCATCATGTTTCCTGTTAAGCCTGTGGAGTTGTGAGTCAATTAAACCTCTTTTCTTCATAAATTACCCAGTCTCAGGTTTCTTTTCTTTTTTTTTTTTTTTTTTTTGAGACAGGGTCTCACTCTGTCACCCACGCTGGAGTGCAGTGGCACGATCTTGGCTCACTGCAACCTCTGCCTCCCAGGTTCAAGTTATTCTCCTGCCTTAGCCTCTGGAGTAGCTCGGGTTATAGGCATACACCACCACACCTGGCTTATTTTTGTATTTTTAGTAAAGAAGAGGTTTCACCATGTTGGCCAGACTGGCCTTGAAATCCTGACCTCAAGTAATCTGCCTGCCTCAGCCTCCCAAAGTGCTGGGATTACAGGTGTGAGCCACTGCACCCGGCTTCAGGTAGTTCTTTATAGCAGTGTAAAAACAGACTAATACATATAAGAAGCAAGGTGGCTTAGCAGTGCTTACTTTATGGGGAAGATCATCCAGCCACAGTCCAGCATGGTCACAGCTGACACCTGCATTTCCCCAGCCATGTGACTTGGCGGCAGGCAGCTCTGTGACTTCTGGGCTAAGCTCAGGCACAAGAAACTTGCCCAGCTCTGAGAGCCCCACATTCAGAGGACTGACCTGAAGGAGTCTTGACTACTTCCATTCCTTCCTTTCCTGTAGCACAAAATACAGAGAGGAAACACACAGTATAGTATTTCAAAATATTATCCTGCCCCACCTATATGATGGGGACAATGACATCTGTCCTACTCTACCTTTCCTAAGGATGTTGACAGAATTGGGTGAGCTGGGTCTGTGCAAGCCCTTTTTCAGTTATAAAATGCTGGTCTCTGGGGGAGCTGCAGCTTATATGGGGGCTGAGCCCTGTGGAAGGTGCCATGTGGGGTCTGACAGTGCCCCACCCTGAGGGTTTTCCTCTAGCATCTAATTCATGTTTGTTTCCTTGGGTTGAACACCAGATGACCTAGAGGCATTCATTTGTGTTTAGGGACTGTGTTGTCCAAAAATACATGCCTTTAAATCCTAGAATCTTGTTCAGTGAGGTGAGAAGCTCTCATTGTGAAAACATCTGAGAACAGAGTCCAGTGGAGTGAATGACGTTTTCATGTTTCATATCAGTTGCTCATTCCATGTCATGTTTGTGTTAAAAGGATGGGTCAGAGGCCAAGAGTGGTGGCTCTTGCCTGTAATGCCAACACTTTGGGAGACCCAGACAACAGGATCAGTTCAGCCCAGGAGTTTGAGATGACCCTGGACAACATAAGGAGACCCCCATCTCTACAAAATAAATAAACAAATATGAAAAAATAAATAAGCCGGGCATGGTGGCATGTGCCTGTAGCCCCAGCTACTTGGGAGGGTGAGGTGGGAGGATCACTTGAGCTTGGAAGGTTGAGGCTGCAGTGAGCTATATAATTGAACCATTGCACTCTAGCTTGGTGATAGAGCATGACCCTGTCTAAAAAAAAAAAAAAAAAAAAAAAAAAAAAAAAAACCACAAAAAAAAAAAAAAAAAAAAAAAAAAAAAAGAACAGGTCAGAGATGTTCCCTGTACTGTTTAAATGGTTACTCCCTCTCACTTTCCTTCTCTCTGTAATTTTTTCTCTTCTTTTTCTCTTTATTCCTGGATAATATATAATTGAATTCAAGTTAATCTGAATATGATGTGACTCCCTATGTTAGAGAGAATCACCAGGTTCGAAATCAAAAGACTTGGCTTCAGGTTCCAGGCCTGCCACTCACATGCTGAGTGACCTTGAGCAATCTTCAACCTTTCTCAGTGGCCTGCTTCTCACCTGCAGACTTTGGGACGACAGTGCTGATGAAAGGCAGCAGCAAGGTCGTGTGTATGGAAGCACATGGTGAGTGTAAACTGCTTGACAGGAGTTAGCTATTGTGGCTGATTGTGCTTTTTTGATGTTTTGACCTGTATCTTTAATATCCTGTGACTGCTGGAAGATCAATAGCTGGTTCGATAGTCTTTTGTCCCTCACCCACGAGTTTTGGGGCTATAAAAAAAACAAATTAGCTCTTAAATCCATGGAAAGTAAACTTTTTTTTTTTTTTTTTTGAGACAGTCTTGCCTTCTTCCAGGCTGGAGTGCAGTGGTGTGATCTTGGCCCACTGCAACCTCTGCCTCCTGGGTTCAAGTGATTCTCCCAGCTCAGCCTTCTGAGTAGCTGGGATTACAGGTGCATGCATTCCTGCCTGGCTAATTTTTGAATTTTTAATAGAGATGGAGTTTCACCATGTTGGCCAGGCTTGTCTCAAACTCCTGGCCTCATGTGATCCACCCACCTCGGCCTCCCAAAGTGCTGAGATTACAGGCATGAGCCACTGCATCCGGCCAAAAGTTAATATTTTGAGTTTCCTGTACTGACTAGGGACACTGTTAGGATCATGGTTTAAGAGTCTGTTTAAAACTCTCCAGGGAGCGCAAGTCTCCCCTCGGCTCCCTCCAACCTGAGGAAAAGGGGCTTTGATGAGGCTCTAGGGCCAAGGGGGTTTCCAAGGACACACCTGGGCTGCAAGGCTCAAGAGCAGGGATGTGGGAATGGTGGTGGGCCCCAGGTTACAGCCTCGGGGGCCTTTCTCTCCCTGACGGCTACTCTCCCCTGCAAGCCCATGAGGCTGGTGTCGTAGGAAGGCTCGAGCTGCTTCCATGTTGGTTCAAGTTACTTGGAGGGACTCTTGCCCTCTGGTGTCTGGGGGCTGGATAACGACAGAATTTATTATCCGAACCTGGACACGAGTCTGTTATGAATAATTATACAGGACTGCACCCCACCTACGAGTGTGGTTTAGGGAAGACCCTTCTTTTGGTGTTCTTTCCTTGGCTTCCTTTTTCTTTTCTTCCTCTTTTTTTTTTTCTCCCCATATCCACTCTGTCACCCAGGCTGGAGTGCAGTGGCACAGTCATGGCTCACTGCAGCCTCGACTTCATGGGCTCAGGTGATTCTCCCTGCTCAGCCTCCCGAATAGCCAGGACTGCAGGTGTACATAACTACGCCCGGCTAAATTTTTTTTGTATTTTTGTAGACTTGGGGTTTTTGTCTTCTTGCTCAGGCTGGTCTCAAACTCCCGTGCTCAAGCAATCCTCCCACCTCAGCCTCCCAAAGTGCTGGGATTACAGGTGTGAACCACCGTGCCTGGCTTTTCTTTTTATTCACATCTTTCCACAGAGTGGTGAATCCCCAAGAGCTAAGAGAAGAGTGGACCCAGGGAAGAGGCCATGGAGTGGGAGGTCTCCCAGCCTGGGCGTTTGGTCTAGCAGGATTAGGCATGTTACGTAAGGCTTTCAGCAGATATTTAGAGTCAGCAGCAGTGAGCCCTTGACTGGCCTTGTCTTCCGTCCTCCTCAGGTGTCCAGCTGGAGCTGAGGCTGGCTGCAGTAGGATGGGTACCAGAGGTCCTCATTTCCATTTCATTCATCACAAGTGGTACTAGGTGCCCATATCAAGTAATAATTTATAAGAACTAACATTTATTAAACACAATGAAATCTTGCTAAGAAGTTTATATGGATTATCTCACTTAATCCATGCAACTGTCTCTTTAGGGAAGTGATTACTGTGTCCATTTTGCAGATGAGAAAACTGAGATTGGGAGGATAAGTTGCCAAACCCTCACAGCCAGTAAGTGGCAGATCTGCATTTGAATTTGGGGTCTGCCTCTAGAACAAGCTTTTAACCACGATACCATCAGCCACAGCCCCATCTGGAAGGAGCTTAATGCCTGAGAGAGACAGTGAAGGACACTTTGCTGTAAAAAGCTCTGTAATAGAGACATATCCACGTCAGAATAGTGGCGCTGAAGGGGAGTGACTCCTCTTGCCAGGAGGTGCTGAGCAAGCTGCAGGAGTGACATTTTTAGCTTCCTCATCTTGGCTACACTGTCTTGCTTCTACCTGGCTTCAGCTTGCTTTCTCTCAGCCTTTGCTGCTCACTCACCTGACAGTGTAATTAAGCTTCCCTGTGATTCCTTTCACCTCTTCCTAAAGGTGGATAGTTTTCCTCTGCTGCTGAACGTCTGAAAATGTGCCAAGGCAGAGGTAACGCAAAAAGCCAACTAAGGCTGGGTGCAGTGGCCCACGCCCGTAATCCTAGCACTTTGGGAAGACAAGGTGGGCAGATCACTTGAGGCCAGGCTGGCCAACATGGCGAAACCCTGTCTCTACTAAAAATACAAAAGTTAGCTGGGCCTGGTGGCACACCTGTAGTCCCAGCTACTCAGGAGGCTGAGGCATGAGAATCTTTTGAACCCCAGGGGTGGAGGTTGCAGTAAGCCAAGATCTGCCACAGTATTCCAGCCTGGGTGACACAGTGAGACCCTGTCTCAAAAAAAAGCCAACGGAAGGGAGACATTTATGAAGACTTTCTGATATTCTGTGTGAAAATATTTTCACACATCCACTGGGGATGCCTTCCCAACTAATTTCCAGTGGAACTCAGGGCTGGAAATATGCTTTAATGCTTGACCATTCTAGGCTTAAATAAGTAATGCATTGCAACAACAGCAAAAATAGGTAGTTGCAGTAGAAATTTTGGTGCAAAATTTGGCTTGTATCAAACATTTATATGGTTTTTGTTTGTTTGTTTGTTTGGAGTAAGAGATGAGTTAGATTGGTGGAAGAAAACTGATACTCATCAAAGCATGTCAGCTAGCCTATTTGTTAAGACGCAGATACCTGCACTCAATCCAAGAGCTCAATCCACTTATTCTCAAATAAGATTTTGAGGGTAGCAGGAGTCCAGGAATTTGTATTTAAAAAGATTTCAGATGATTAAAAAAAAAATGCCAACTAGGCTGGGCGTGGTAGCTC